ATATGAAAGGCAGTGTTTGGGGGGGGTGGGGATAGGATTGTGTTTTGTCAAGTTACGGTACCATTTTCAAAAGGTCTTTAGTAACTTGGGCACTGTGCCACCGACAGTCACTAGTATTTAGGTGCCTAACTTGCTTAGGCACTCTTGAAAATTTTACCATTAGAAACCCAGGTTTCATGCATGCATCGTCCTTGCATAGGCTCTGTGCTAACTTATTTTAAACGGGGAATTCAACGGCTCTTCCTTGACTGCCTTCTAGGTTACAGTTCATGAGCTTGGCCAATATTAAGGGTAGTTTAAATTGCATGGAAATTTAAACAGGTGAGTTTTGAAATGACTTCCTCTTTCCCAGCTCAAAGACCTTTCCTTTAGGTTCCCTGTCTGACTCATTTAAAGTAGGTTGGTTCTGCTTTGCATCTCTTTTCTGTTAAGGCTAAAACATTATAAAATACTCTATAAACTGCTCAGTTATAAATAGATAATCAGCATAAGATGACCAATATTGTGGTCAACGGACAGGCCCCCAGAGTGTTGGGTTTTTTATAAAAGGATACAAAGAAAAGAGTGAAAATTTGCCAAAAAGGAGGTATTTTTTAACTTTATTCTCCATTTTTCATCAGCCCTCTATGAGAAGATAAAGCAGTGCTCACAGATAACTGACTTTGGTTTTTGCCATTTCAATGAGGTTTGTACAAAATAAAGGTTTTAGGAACTATGCTACAGTTCCAATATAATAAATAGCCAGTTTTTCCAGGGCCTGCAATGGTGTCAAGGCAAGATGTGTCCATAACAAGTGAACCCGGCATCAGTTTCTGGATCGATTTAAGACACGTAGCACCACTGATCATGTTATAGTGGTTGCACAAGAGAGGATGGAAGCACAGTTGACCGTTGCAAATGTCTATGAAAGAAACAGGCACAGCCTCTTGCTCGTATGTAATTGAAAAAAGCTGATTGTGGCTGTAGCCTCTACCTAACTTTCTAATAGCAGCTGGAAGGCCAGCCAGTCTCCTAGGTTGCTCACTTGCCCCACAAATGCTGAGCTAGCGGCTAGCCCCTCCCTCAGTCAAAGGAGGTGATATTATCTCTTCCACTTGTTCCCCTACAATCAGTATCCTCTCCATGTTCTGTGAACCAACGGTAAACCAGCTCGTTCTCATCCAAACAGCAGCTGAGGCACTTGACCCTTCTGCCTGGTCAGAAAATAAAAGAGCTGGGCCCCCTCAGCATAGCGAAGGCACAGCAATCTCCACCTCCTCACCAACCCTTGTAACTGCCCCATAGCTCTCTAAAGAGGACAGGTGACAAGATGGAACCCTGTAGCACTCCCTGGGAGGGCCCCACCAGCAGCCTTTGAGAGCCTTTACTTATACAAGAATGGTCCCACCCCAAAGCAACCCCATTCACTCCTGGTACAGCCCCCAACTGCGTCCACATAA